AACAATAGAACTCAGAAGGTCATCACACACCCCATTACCCAGATCATTACAACACAGGAGGCTGATAGACACACAGCCAATACCTCAACCACATATGTTCTTACAAAAAAGCCAGCCAATCTGCAAACATCAACTCCATCAACCAATCAAGAAATGACAACACAGCCAACCTCCCCACCAGTATTTATAGAGAAACGGCAGCTCAGATCATGCTTTGCTTGCACAAGCATGAAGCCAAAAGTACTAGCCTGAAGATGGTGAGTGGGACCTCATCGAAACATCACCAAGATACTCTCAATCTTACATGGGAAAAGACCCGAACACGCCAAGACCTGCATACCTGTACCCATGAAAATCTACGAAAACACACACACACACACACACCTATATTCTACTATCTATCATCTATCTATCTATCTATCTATCTATCTATCTATCTATCTATCATCTATCTATCTATCTATCTATCTATCTATCTATCTATCTATCATTAAAGACAAGAATGATAAAGTGTGAGTAAATCCAACTTACCTATAAATAAATGGTGCTACAGTGGCTGTATTGGGATGGCTGTATTGTTGCTGCTGAGGAAGATGGACAATACTACTTCCTGGGACATGCCCACTGGCTGCAGCCATTGAAGGAGAAGAAAATGATGTACTACTAGCCTCTTTTCCTTCAGAAGATGAGAGACTGGAAGGAACATAGATTTTCTCATTCCCTTGGGATTTTGCCATAGATGAGGAGTGGTTTCCTTTTGCATTCCTCAGTTTTTCTGTCTCTTTACTTCCTGAAGATACTAGTGAACTATTCTGCTTTGATGTAGGTACTTTTGAACCAGGTTTTGGAATACCACTAGATGAAGGAATTAAACTTTCTTTCTTGGCTGAAGTTGCTTTGCTCCCCTTGGGAATCAGGCTTGCAATTTTTGAGGTCTTTTTGGTGGGTGTCTCAGGCATCTGTTCCTTTTCATCCTTTACCACCTTTTCAGTGCAAACTTTATTTTTATCTTTGTTCTTTTCTTCTTTATCTTTTGGCTGCAGCAAAGACTTTTTATTGCTGATATTTTTGCTTCCAGCTTTCGGAGGAGTTAATTTAGGGGATATTTTGGTGCTGTTGGTAGTAAATCCAGCAGTACTGAGCCCACCACTGAAGCCATCCACTTCAACACACTCTAAAAAAGCTTCATCATCCTTTCCACTGTTAGCAGGGCCTGAATTTGATGATGACAGAGGGGGCCGTAAAACAGTCCGAGCATTAACCAGTTTGAATTTCTCTAACATAGATTTCTGCCCAGATGAAGGTGTTTTAGGAGCTTCAGAAAGAGGTGGCTTTAGCCTGTCTGCAGGTGGTGTAGGTGAGGTTTCAGGGCTCTGCTGCTTCACAGACAGCATGGTAGAGGTGGCACTGTGTTTCACATTCATTGATTTGCTGCGCCAAGGCTTGCTGGCACTTGGAGAGGGGATGGCAGAGACCAGCTGCTGCCCAGTGGTGGTGGGATGCTGTACATTTCCATTTATACCTGCAGATGGGTGAGGACCTTTGGGTGATTCTAGTTGGTAAGAGAGAGAAAGTACAAAGCATACTCAGTGTGCTAGTAACAAAACCTGCCCATGCAAGTAAATAACTGAATAACTGAAACAATAGTAGTATTCCAAAGACCCTACTAATGACTAAAATCATAAGTTAGTGCCAAATCTATACAATCTATAGAATTAACATTATAAGTTGCCCTCTTATTTAGGATGTGAGAAGCAAGTGGGTTCTGCTGATGCCAGCCATATCTACCTGCACTTCTATGTTTACCAAATCAGACACAATGATTTGCTATAGTACTCTTAATGAACCATCAAATTTGGGGAACTGTTGTAAAGGTTACTGTAGAAATCTTCCATCAAGCTGCATCAGCAGCCAAAGCCAGAAACAGTTTAATATAAAGATGACTAAAGCAATCTGACAAGAGATGGCCAGAACTAACAATAACAGCAAAAACAATGTCCACAAGAAAGGCATTTTAAAAACAATTTGGTCAATTTCAGGCTTTGAATCTACTATTTCTCAATAAAAAAGATTGAGCAATATGTTTCCATATGAACATGGTTTTGTTTGTTACTTAAAAACCAATCATTGTTAGTCAACGTAATAAGTTTTTTGAGAGGTTTGGTGTGTATATATTTTACAGTTTTAATGTTTTAGTATTTTTAATATATATTGTTCTCTACTGCTAACCCAATTTCATCCCCAGTAATAGAAGGAATAACATAATGCTCATTAATATATAACATGTTCATTTTACATCTACAACATATACAATAAAAAAATGAAATTAACATTAATTTGGAAGAGGAAGTAATGGAAGTTATGGTATTACATGGAATCTGATTTGTACTACATCTCCACACATTCAGTTTACATGGTACATGGTCATTATTTGCCAGGAAAGTGTTACAAATATTCAGTACAAGGATTTGTGCCAATGATGTAGATCAGAATAGAAAAGTACATGATTGCATTCAGAAAGTGTTAATTTCAATTTATACTATCTGAACCAAAGCTGAGATGTTGGAAAGTTCTATCCAGCAGCCTTTTCCAATTTGACATTTTCCAGATAGGTGAGATTTCAATTACTGCAATTTCCAAACAAAATGGCAAATGAGACTCGAATATATCATATTCAATATAGAAGTAATGCTGAATGGAGACTGAACTACACATTATACTTAATACATTGTTTGGTTTTCTACATGGAGTCATCATTTAGTAAGTGGCTTATATAGTGACCATTTGCAGATACAATAACGATGAAGAGATAACTTTGCATACAGTTCTTGCATTTATGACCTTTGCAGGTCTCTAAAGCAATGGAAAAGGAAGTAAGTTAATAAGCACAGCCACAATTTTACATAGTGACTGCTTTGTGTAATAACTGAGTTGCTGGTCCCAACTGTGGCCACTAAATGAAAACTAACTCTATATTATTTTAACTATTCATGATATTAAAAAGTGGTAAACTTTTTTTAGATTAAAAAAAAAACTTTCATTGTGAACACATTTATAATGGCATATTTGATTTTTATTTATGTGCTATTATTCACATAACCATTTTTATTTTTGTATTTTATGACAATTAGTTCTATCTCCAAGAACTAATTTCCACTCCTAGTCAAGCTTCAAAATCCTTTAAAGTTCCAACTCAAGTCTCTGGTTGATTTCAGTACTGAGTGTACATTTTCAAAGCCCAACAAGATTAGATTTTCTGATGAAACATACCACCAATCCCTCTAATTTGTGGCTATAATTGAATTTCACAGCAGAGCTAGTCTTCCCTCCTGTGAATGGTTTGGGAAACTACTGCAAATCTACATCTACAATATAGGATAGACTTGCTATTATGAGACTGATTTTTCCTAATGCTAATATTTTTTTAAAAAATCTGTTGCTATAAGGTTAAGCTGCATTCATCACAAATGATATAAAAAACAACATTCATAATATATTGAAATAATATAATTATTTTAAGGATTTTGTTAAAGACACAAAAATAAATAAAGACTCAATTATGGACAATTGTGCAAATTAATTTTCCTCTGAGCATTGTGTTCTTGATTCATTTTTAACTATAAACTGTTTAACTGTTTAAAATACAAATGAAGGCAAATATATTTTTAAAATACTCAAATTAATGGAGTATTAATTGGCAATTAAAATCCAAATATATAATATCTAAAATATTAATAAGATTTCTTATCAGTAGCAGGTAAGAAGATTTCACAAACAAGTTGTCACAACTATGATTATATAAATAATAATTCTGTAGTCGATATATTTTTCTTGCTTATTAAGTCATTCATTCAATCTATATATTGTTGAAGGCCACCAAAATTCTCAGTGATACATAAGATACAGACATCCAGAATAAGAGTGAATAAGTGTGTGTGTGCATGTGTATGTATATGTGTATGTGTGTGTGCGTGTGCAAAACTGCATACCTTCCAAGCAAATGACAATTGTGAAACAGTAATAGTTATTCTCCCACCAAGAATTCTCAAAGATAATACTATTATTTGAAGACATCTACTCCCACCTTGTGGTAAGCATAGTATGTGTTGTTTTAAAAATGTATACTTAAAATTTCATGTTCCTTTACCTTGAAAATTAAGATTATTAGTTAGCATATTTTTATTAATATAATTCTATAAGTAATTGTGTTTAAAAGTGAAAGATATAGCCCCTTCCGGTTTGCTAGCTTTCGGTGGCGGCAGGGATTTGCCACTGTGCAATCCCTGCTGCGTTCACCGCCAAGGTTCCCCCGATCCATTTGGATCTGGGGGACACAGCTGCCCTGTAGAGGCAGTGGAAGATAGGGGGGATCCGGCAAGGGGTTTGGGGGTGCCGCAAACCCCCTCCCCAGCTGGCTAAACTCCCTTTTCCTGAGGCGGAGGAACGGCGGTCAGCAATGGCCGCCACGAAGAAAGCTGCAGCCGGGTAAGCAAGAGCAGGAGGGAGAGAGCTGAAAGAGAAGTGAAAGTTGCTTCTGGCTGGGACAAGACAGGAGAAAGTTATTTGGAACCTTGAAAGCTGTTAAGTATCCATTGTTCCTTGCGAGAGTTACAAGCTGCGAATACCCTAAAGGGAAAATTTTTTTTTTCTTTGTTCGACTCTCCTTCCTAAAGTGACACCGGAAAAAAAAAATCTTTTTGGCTGTGAGTGGGAAGGGAGAGTGAAAAAAAATCTGAGCAAAATTTGAAAATAAGAAGATTGCCTAGAATTGCAAAGAGTTTAAAAACTTCCAAAAAATATACTTGAAAAGGATTTGTGATTACTTTAACCCCAGAAAGAGAAAGTCAAGAAGAAGAAGGTATCTAAAAGAAACAGTCTGTTTGGATTGTTTGGTGATTTTGGAACCTTTGGAAATTATTTCTGATTAAATCATCTGGGTGGTTGTTTGGAAAAACTTTTTCTCTACACAATGGCATCATCTATGGATGAATTGGAACTTATATATCAAAAATTTGAAAGAGAAAAACAAGGAGGTGAAGATGGACTTGGCACTATTTTCCAATACTTAGAAATGGAGGTTTATATTTATGTGAAGCAGAATGAGGATGATGGGGATAAAGAAGAAGGAGAAGCCATCTTTGATGAGAAAAGGACTTTGATTGGAGAAGGGAAAAAGCGGAGGTCTTTAAGATCTGGAAAAACAGGCCAAAAAGAGAAGAATAAGGTGGAAAAGGGATATTATGTTAAGAAACAACAGAAAGGGGGAAAGCAGAATAAAAGGGAGGTGGGGAGACAAGGGGTTAAAGAGGACAAGGAGAAGAAGAAGCAAGGGAGAAAGGATGGTGGGGAGCAAGATATTAAGAAGCAAAAGTTTTTCAGAGATAATGGATAAGTCTTATTGTTAATGGGATTCTAGAAGGTACATAAGATTGCATTTTTATATCTGTATTTAGAAGTAATTATAGAAAATTAGAAATAATATGTAGTTTAAAATGTGATAAAATATTTAACATAAACAAGTGAAATTTTTGTTAAGAAAAAGGGAGTATTGTAATGAAATATGATCCAAGATTGTGATGTGGGGGGGGGGGGTAATAATCGTGGAAAGCACAAGTGTTCCCACAAAGGCATGACATTCAATTGAAATGGATAAAATGTTTAAGATATAAATGATTGTCAATATTAATAATTAGAAGATGGTATATTAGCAAACCTTTTGTGAAATGAGATTTGAAGTAGAAGAAGGAGGAACATTTCAATGAAATATTGAACTATAATATGTGATGTGGGGGGGGGGAATAATTTTGAAAAATAGGGCTCTCATAAAAGCATGTGATTTAATTGAAAAGTAATGAGTTAAATATCTAAGATATGAATGAATATCAATATTAATGAATAGATTTGTATTATTTTTGATAATATAGTATAATTTTAGAATGTACCAGACAGAATCCCAATGTAGGTTATCTATTTTATATTAAGTACTATAAATATAGGGGGAAAAGACAAAGGCATCATACTCCATATAGTGTATAGGAGAAGTACTTCTTCTTTTTTTTTAAAGAAGAAAAATAAATGATTGGCTGGAATAGAACAGACAAAGAATAATAAATATTACGATATGAATTGAGAGGAGATAAAAAAATAAAAATGAAATAAAATTGAGAAAATTTAAAGGAGAGGAGAAGTTATATAGAAAATTGAAAATGTTAAGAAGATATGAAATGGTATGTAAAATGAATATGGAATTCAATTTGTGTCTGTACCAAGAGTTTTAACCCGGGACTAAGCAACTTTCAGAAAAGAGATTTTTTATACTTTTATGTTTTGTGTTTATGTGTATTTATGTACTGTTTGTCTTGAAAAATAAAACTTGTTTAAAAAAAAAAAGTGAAAGATATAGAATTTACCATAAGAAGGTAATATGTATCAGTATTTGCATATCAGTTAACACTGTTTACTGTTTATGATTATACATATATATTTACTACATCTATATAGTTCTTATTTTTAAATAGGATATTTTCACAAAAAATATCATTCTATATAGGATAAATAGGATATTTTCACAAAAAATGGTTTCTTGATTGACTAGTCAAGAAGCATTTATTTAGATTCAGACAATCATAGACAAAAAAAAGTTTTAAATCTGATTTTCCATTGCCATAAACTGAAGGCATGTTATATTTATTTATATATTTATGGCAGGAATTGTGGAGGAATCTCCTTAGGCTTCTGGTTCAATAACACAATATCTATTAAGCACTCACCTTTTTCATTTCCATTTGCATATTGCGGAGGTTTGTTTTTGTCAATGCTATTAAAGCTCTGACTTCTTCGATTTAAATTGGAAGCTCCCTGGACTTTGGTACTACTGCCTGCAGCTGGCACCCGTGAAGGCCCAGGAAGCCTAGAACAGTACAGTCAGAAATAAATGTGTTGCAGTTGTAAACATGTGTAAGGTAACATGGTTTCATAAATATATTCATAGACCTGATTAACAACAACAACAAACATGCATCTGGTTCAAGGTTAGTTAGCTACCGCCATGGAGTTATCAATCTCAAAAGGTACAAATGGAGGATAGATGCTGTATAGAAGCACAAACACATAAGGACCCTTTTCATTTTCTATTCACAGTGCACAAATGAGTCCCTGGATACTTCATATGCAATTCAATTTTTTTCAATTTTGTCTAAGATAATAAAAGTCAATCTTAGTGGAGAGTTTATTTGAGTAATACTCTGTCTAAACCACTTCTTATATAAATGCAGGTATGACAGCAGAGTAGCTATGATGGCAAAAACAACAAAGATAATTGTGGCATTGATAAATAATAAATATGTAAGCTTTAAGGCACCATAATACTCTTTGTTCTTTATCCTGTTTATAGATAGGTATTTGATAATGAGATTACTGATTTGTGTGGTTGAGAAGATTCTGTCTGGAAATAAAAATCGCTGTATTAAAATGAACCATCCATCACAGTTTCAGTCAAATATTGCATTTGTTGGTGTTTGCTGCCACCATCTGAAACTTCCTGGTTAGTAAAGTAAATAAAAATGCCACTGTCTACAAACTCACATTATGCTATGTATATTTTTCATGGCCTGGTTTAGTTATAAATGTAGAGATTTTGCAGCATCAATAGAATTTTACTAATATGGAAGTCAGATACTTTTGTTAAAAATGAAAATAAAAACCCCCTATCACTATTATCAATAACTCAAAGATAACACAGCATAAATAGAAAAAAACATACTTTTAATATTTCACTGTGTCTGCCTTTTAACTATATCCTCTCCAGAAAATCCTGACCTTTTTCTACATAGAACTTATACATTATAAAAAATAGTCTTGAATTGCAACTGCTTATCTAATATTTCCATTTCATATTTGATTGCTATGATATAAACTGCAGTTTTATATGTCTCAGTGTTCAGCTTTTAGGAGAATATGTTCTGGTAGTCACTCTGAAGTTATTTTATCTATGCTACAAGAAGAGCAGATTGTTTCATTTCTAGAGTTTTTTTTAAACCTATGAAAACAATCTCCAACTACCAAGTCAATTATATTTAACTATGTTAAAATCCACGTGAAATATAAAATGTAAGGGCATTTTTCAAAAAATAGAAATTGAATAAATAAATATATTAACTCCATTTATTATTTTATTCCACCCATAAAATCATTTTAAGCAACCAAGGAAATGCAAAGTTTAAAGCAACAATAATTTACAAAAATGTACTTTTGATTAGAAGTTTACAAAATTCCCTTATACATTTATATTGCTGGACAAACTGTTAATTCCCAGACAGAACAAATTGTGAAGGAGACAAGAGAGTCCATAAGAAATGAGACTGAAAACCTACGACCACAGGTGCACAACAACTGCACTCTGGTATAGCTCATTTCATCTTAGCAACTCAGACAGAATGACTTAATCATGGACTACCAACTGATAGTTCATTGCCAGTAATGAACTGTTTTTCAAGGAATACACATAATCAACACAGACTGAACACAAAAGGAAGAACCAGGTGTCTTCCTTTAGAAAGTAAATGAACTGCAAGCAGTAATTCTAAATAAGAAAGCCACAAAACTGGGAAGAGTGACAGGGTTATACATTGACATCCAGGCTATAAAGAGCTGTACCATTTACACTGAAAATATGTTCTGTTTCTATTCACTTTCACAGAAATTATGCTTGCCCCCAAATACTTCATTTCATTTAAACCTTTTTAAGTGTCTTTGATATGCACTGGAAAAGCACAAATTGTTTTATTCTCGTACTTTTAATATTCCAGTACTTTTAATATTCAACATAAATACCATATCTACACAGATTGACAGGGATTCTCGACTCAAGGAGTATTTCCTATTCCAGTTTAGACACTTCAGGATCTCAATCTGCTTTACTTGTATGAATTGTACTTTAGTGCAAAGCCAGAGTCTTTTCTAACAGCTCTTCCTTTATGTGAAAAATGATAATGGAAAATAAATTAGAAGACAGTTGTATACTTCTATTCCCAACCCCACAGATTGCTATATTATATACAGGTCTGGTTTCTTTGTTGTAGTGTTTCAGAATAAGTACTAGTTGTTATTGTTGTTTTTAGTCGGATAAGAACTCTACTAGTCAATTAACCAAATTTTTTTTTTACTGAATATAATGGCTTGGTAGTAGGTGCAAAATTGAACGTACATAGTTTATTCAACAAACCAAGGTAAAAGAAAAAAAACAATTATCTGAATTAATGCAATGTGAAAATGTGAAAACCCAACCACTGTGAACAGAATACACAAGCCTAGAAATGAGACTAACAAGCAACCATCAGTTGCAAACAAGATTCTGAAGCACAGCTAAAATTATATTTCAAGCTTTTTACCAGCTGTTTTCCCTCCAAAGATGCTAGAGTACAACTTAAAATTCTAAAACCTTGACTTGAATGTAGCCAGTTAGGATGCAAAATCTAAACCTCGCTTGGTACATGAGATCAAATTACTGCATCCCAGACAATTAGACATCTTTCAATGAGAGGAGCTTATTCTCTATGTGGAAAATTGGTTCTAGTCTAAATGTCTATTACTCCCAGCTAATACTCTTACTGCAGTGATTCAACACTTCTGAAGAACATAAAGGCCTCTTAGGTTAAACAAATTTAACCTTCAATTTAAATTGAATTAGAGCTTTTGAGTATAAATTGCCAATAGACACTGAACAACTCTTTTGAAATATTGATGTTACATTGCTAAGCTGCATCATAAGGATTTCTCTACAACTATCCTACTGTAAATTCTTTACTATAGTCATGGCCAGTTTTCTACTAATCAACAGAACATGCTGTAAAACCTACATCTGAAATATTATAATGAAATACCTTAATATCTATTGTGACTCAGAGAATAAAAATGCCAGTGGGCAGTGACTCTACTAAGCATCACTAGCAAGCAATAAATTAGAGATGTTAACTGACCTAGAAAGCTTTTTTTGACTGGTTGCAATTCCACTGTGATTAGACTGAGTTGTATATCTGGCTGTCAGACTGCATGAGAAGAAACAGAGAAATTGAATTAAAGAATGTTGTTGAGTATGCATAAAAAGCACAAACTTACCACCAACTGATGAGTTAATGCAGAACATGGATAGAACATGAGTAGAAAGCAAATTAAAGAATCAAATGTAATGTTAATAGACAGAGTTTCTAAAATACAAATTATGTTGCTCTTCATATTACTTATAGAGAAACGTCCTCTCAAATGTTGTAATTGCTTTAAACACTTCTGAAATCACTGCTGTGGAAATATTCTTAGCCAAAGAGTAGAAGATTATTTGTTGTAAGCACATCTCATGCTAGCAACATGGCAAGTAGTGAGATAGAAAGTTAAAGATGAAAATAGGTGCTGGACTAGGATTGACAAGAATGTAATAAAGCTAACTGAAAAGTGATGAAAAAGACAAGTGACATGACTTTGTTTGATGTATTAAATAACCTAGGATGTGATATGAATAGACAATTCATTATTTGGTCAACTTCTTTTTGAATTGCATCAAGTCAGAATGCTGGTTTTAAAAAGAAGGCAAGCTGAAAATGTAACTCTTCTAAAAAGTTTTAAAAAAACACTAGAGAGCTGATTGAAATTTGGCTGAGATATACAAAGGGAATATGCAGGCAGGCAAGGACTGAAGTGGAAAGCAGAAAAATTCTGCCAAACTGAGCTTTATCTAGATTGCTTTGACTTAATGCCTAGGCAAATTATGTATCTATTAGAAATAGCAAACAAAGCAGTGCTGTAGTCTAGCTATTTAGCATTAAGCAAATAGGCAAAAGTTTGGAAAATATCAGGAAAAAATTCATAGGATTTGGCTAAAAAACGAACTTTGGTATTTTTTTCCAAAGTAACAGTGTAACAGTAGGAAACTAGAGTAAAGAATACAGAATGCAGAAAGAATGGCAAAACAGCTTGATTCAGCATTAATTTGCTTATTTACTTGACAGTCAAGCAAAAACAAGACAAACCACAAAACCCTGTTCCATGACAATTTATATAAATCAGTCACTTTCATGTGATCATATTTCACATCAGCAAAAGCTCACATTTAGTTTCAGTTTAAGAGGTATGATTTTCTATATTCTTTTGGAAACAGAAAATGCTTCCATGTGGAATTAAAGCTAAGCAGCATTGAGATTTCTATGCATTGGAGAAGGGACTAAAATAACTGTGTTGAGAGTAGTAAAGATACAGCTTATTTTGCAATAAAATAATCTATTTTCAACCTAAAACTCATAAAAGAAGAAAATGTTGATTGTAAACACTCAAATTATTTTTAGACTAGATGAATGCATTAAATAAATTGCTTAATTAGATTGAAACAGCATCCAGTGCTAAAGTCCATATAATGGTAAGCTAAAAAAATAGCTTCCTCAATGTGAAAACAAAAATGTTATTTTATCATTTGTAGTTATCTATCATCTATCATCTACTATCTGTCCATCTATCTGTAATCTCTCCTTTCATTTCCAAATATTCAATGAAATCATATTTATAGATGCATAGGTAATAAAGATAGACCTACACATAGAAAGAATTAAGGTATACCAGTAGGTACATCTTAATATTTTAACTTTATCTCAAGACTAATTTTAATAATCTAAGCATATTTAACATCATTAAAAATTGTCTCTCACTAGGACTGATTTTTTTAACATTCTGAATTGTTCCATATCTGTAGAACCTTAATATCAGGTATGGTAGGAAGCCTACTCTGTTTGGGATTTTAATTTAAGGGATTCTATAATTTAAGAGACATACTTCCTGAGAAATGACAAGGAAGAATATTTTCGCTTTGCCCCAAGCCATTTCTTTTTTTTCCCATACTTTTATATTTAACATCTTCTACTGCTAAAG